CACACACACACACACACACACACACAGTCTCTCTCACACACTCAAACAGACATAATAGCCAACTAAATGAGAAAATATAATAATTATATATAATATAAAAATGTGAATTCATGCTTATTTATTTTGTAGTTAAAAGGAACTACAAAATAAATAACCCCCGACAATAACTCTTTCGTGTTCTTATCACTCCAAGTCGAGGATATAACTTTTAACAGGCATTCCAGTAGTTTCAGTGTCAGTCTGTACAGTGCAAAATATTCAGATTTACAATTTGGAGAAGTGGTTTGTGTTCTGCCTAAATAAAGGAACCTCTCTGTTGATATAAATAATACGCATTCCATAAAATGCTCAAATGAAATAGCTGAATAAGAGGCTTTAGACACACAGTGACTGTTTTAGGCTGAAGTGCACCGTTGTGGGCAATACAACTGACCCGGTGACAAGGTGCATGAAGTTTGTCTGAGGAGCATCTGTCATCGACCAGAAGCGATTAATGCAAGGAACAGTGTCTTATCAGCCGCCTTGAGCATCACACAACCCTCGCTTCCCGCGGAAGAGCAGCGGTAGGATCCGCCGCGCACATTTACAGGCAAGAAATTACTGTCAAATTCCCAAAGCGCTCGGCAAACGAAGTGTGCGCGTTGCGCGGGCGAGGGATCTAATGTGGACTTAAACACAAATGAAAGGAGGATTCATGCAACAGATAGAACAGATACATGCCTAACCCGACGCCGTAGAACAGATAAACACGCTCGCGTTTATTGGTAAGTAGGCTATAATGTATTTTTCAAGTACATACTATGACAATAAAGTTTTAGTTTATCTAAATCATTATTTTAATTTCAGTTGAGTATGTGCGGTTGAGATTTAATATATATTATAGTTAGTTAACACAATTGTTTTATTGATGTTTGTAATCTTAACATTAGTTTTGTGTCTGTCTCAATTATGTGAGAAGCAAACGGGATGACATGAAAGCTGTGCTTACCCAAACGCTTAACTGCTGTAACAGTACCAGAATAGCATTATAAAGTAATTAAGTTCCTTCAATTAGCATCTATAAAAGTACGCTATAGAGCACAATGAGGGCAAGGACTTTCACTGTTTAGGTTGCCTTTTAGTGAGGGTCAGCAGATTGCAGCACGCATCAGTGAGTTAATGCCATCGTTTCGGATAATTTGGGCTTAGAAAGAGATGTGAGTCGTTCGAGGTGAAATTAAATTGGGAGTTTAAAAACAAGTCCGACTGTTTACCGAGGACATTGAACTGTGCGCCTGATGCATTATCAAATCAAAAAGATAAAGCATATCTTTGCATCAATGGCAACATTTGTACAACTGCGCAATGGGGTTGAGTATGCTTAAAAATATTTTATATAACTTAATTTATTTTGTTAATTCAAATATAATTAGGAAAATATGTACTAAGTATACAGTACATATAGATTAAGTATAAAGTGGCATATAAAATGCCTATTTTTAGAACAAGGGGCCTCTAAATAAATCGACAGCTCCATCTAACAGAAATTCATTTTAGTCCTAATCTTGAAAACAAGAACGTGTTGGAACGCATAAAGTCATTATTACAGGAACGTTCCCATTCTGCCTCAATATTTGTTATTCATTTGAATCTTTCCCTGCCTAAGTCGCTATTGAAATCAACATGCCGCTGTGGTTCAGAAGTCAAACGGAGGTCATCCTTCATATCCCCCCGCAGCAATCTGCGACCAGGGGCCAGTCAGCAGTGAACCCTGCCATCTCCACTGCTGACAACTGCCTCAAAGTTACAAGACTATCGGGAATGGGTAAGACGCGCTGGGATAAAACAGCAGGCTACTAACTTTTTCTTGATCTCGCCACTGCCTGGTTATAATGCTCTTACAGCGTGTTTCAAGTGCTTGTCAATTGTGAAGTGTGTGAATATTCAAATAATCGTGTATCTATTTATTTGAAGAGTTCCCTTATCCAAGCGCGCAACAGAGACGTTTTAGACAATTAGTGGCTAATAAAATAATAAAAGGGAATTAGTATTTTACTAATCGTGAGGAAAATTAAATTCATTGACTTGACAAGGTTACGCATATAACATGATGACAAAACTGTAAAACTATACAAAAAACTTTGGGCACTTTGGATATAGTTCATACGTTTTTTAGACTATACGTACATTAATCAGATACGTGCATGCGTCCGGGTGTTTCGATTAGTCTGAAGGAAAAACACACTGGCTAAAATATTTTTTACAGGTGTAGTTCAAATTATTACATTTAGCCTTTACTTACATTTTATTAATTGGAAACATTAAAAAGAACGAGCTATTTTGACTGAGCATTTATGTATTTTAATGTACATATTCATAGGTCTAATAAACATTAGAAATCAGTGTGTTTTTATTTTATTTGGCGTTGTGGTTTTATTTCATTTCAGTTTGTTGTTGTATTTATGCTTGCTTTATTTATGCTTAATCTTATTATTTTAACAAACGTTCTTAACTGAGAAGCGTACTGCAGGCCTATTGGATTTGCAATAATGTAAACTACTACACAAGATCCAACAGAAAAACATATTTATCATATGCAAAGGCTTGCAGTGACCTGTATGCTTGATCATGTGCGCCTTCTACTGGAAACATACAGAATTTTCTTTCTTTGTTTCTTAATGAGACGCAATGACTTTTCCGACAAGCACAAAATCAGGCGAAATGCAGTCAATAATGTCGCGCCACTCTTAAATAACTGTTAAAACACTAGTTCTTAGTTTAATAATGATGATAATCAATTATGACAATTTAGGAGGCTGTATAGGCTATGTATTAATTAATATATAAAACTACTTGACAAAGTATTTGTTTGATGACGGATGACAGATATGGTAACTTAAAATCTAGGCTTAATCATCTTTACAAAATGTTTATTCTTCCATTAATTAAAAAAAAAAAATCTGCATTGTTTGTCAAAGTAGTATGAGATGATACTGATGTGCTTTTGGATAATGTTTGTTAAGAAGAACGCTAATGACAAATCAACAGAAAATGCCTCACTTTTGTTCGCCTTATTAATAGGCTAAAGCTAAAATTCATTAAATAAATTGCCTGTTGCCTTCTTGAAGTTTTCGGTTGCAAATTATGTTCTATTTTCCCTAACTAGCAAACATCAGTTAGGAATGAAGCACAAACAGTAACATTAAAATGATAAATCTAAACGAACATGCAGGTAATTATAATCTACGCACTTTCAACTACGCACGGCTGCGTCAAAATTAAAAATTAGAAACCAGACAACAGAAGGGTCAGTACAACTTCACAAATTATACGACAGCGTTTACTTACTTTCCTTTAAGTTTTAAGTATTATAATACATTTGATTTACTACGGATTATTATTGGATTTTACACTAAGAAAAACGCATAGCGAAGTGCCCAATAAATATCAGTAGATTATTGTCAAGCATAAAAAAGCACTTGTGAGATATCAGTATGTTGTTACATTATAAGAGCACTGTTAAAACAACATGTTATCAATTAAACTCACTGTCAATGTCTTGAAAATTAGATTTCTATTAAAACAACACACAGATACTTGCACTTGAATTTGTGTTTTTATTATTAACATCAAGCTTTGGAGTTTTCTCATAGGATGATTTCTGAATTTGTCAGCTTGCCCTGTTGACACAGTTGGGATTGGAAAATACCGTGTCTGAGTCTCTGAGAGCGTGGTGTGCTCTCTCCCACCCTTTCTCTTGGTCTATCAGCTATAAGTGCCAAAACATTTGTCACTTGAGTTATTATTTCAGGTGTGCTAATGGGCTCAGAGCCACGAGAGAGGAGGAGAAAGTGGGAGAGAGAGAGGCAGAAGGAGAGGGGGGAGTTTGATTAGTGTGATTTCATTTGACCGAAGCCTGGCCACAGGCTGGCAGAGCCCAGAGGTGAAAAGAGTAGGCCGCTGCCCTCAATGAGAGATAGCGCGAGGCGGGAGAAAGAGAACGGGAGCGAACGACGGAGGGTTTGTGACGCCTGAG